CCTTGCTGTGGGCTCAGGCCATGCACATCTGGGGATCCCCCGCTGCAGAGGAACCCCTGGGGGTACCCAGCTGGCCCTGTGCCACCTGCCCCTGTGTGCAGAGTGTCTAGCACAATGGGGGGGGGGTCTGATCCCTGATTGAAGTTCGGGGCCCTCCCATAATCCAACATTAATAGTAATGATCATAATTCATGAAAGGTTGTTCCTGGGGGCCTAGGTGAGTGGGGGTGTAACCTGGGCACTGGCAGTCAGCAATCAGTCCCCTAGGGGACTCTTCCTGCTCGATCGCCAGAGACCAACTCAGCCTCCGGCTGGCACCGGGATCAGGGGAGGCAAGAGGTGGATCAGAGCCCCCCGCTCAACCCCACCCCACCCCAAGTCCTGCCCTACGCACAGTTGGTCTAGACTGGGCATCTGGCCGTGTCGGTTTCAGGAACACAGGACTCATGTTGACACATCACTTGGCTGTGGGTGTGAAAGAGCATTTTTATTGAAATGGGAAAACAAATGAACTGACAAAATGAAAGGCCTTGGTGAGGGTACTTGGTAGCCACGGTTACTCAGAGAAATTGCTGCCTTTTTATCTTCAGTACTTGAATCAAGGCTGACTATTATTCAAGCCTTGGGAATGGAGGATGTGGCGTTTCTGTTTGTATTCATTCCCCACCACCCTTCCCTTCAGATGGGAACCCATAGAGCTCTTCTTTGAATGGAAGTTGTGAGATTCGCATGAGAGCATCGGGGGGGCTTTCAGAATGATACAGGCTACTGCAAGATAGAATACCCTTCTTTATGGTCCATGGTACATATTGCCTTGTCTAATCTAGATGTGTTATTAATTTGTTTCCTGTCTCCAGTCACTAATAAAAGGTTATACCACCTGGTGAGTATCGGAAAATTCAAGAGGAATTTGTTAGGATGAATTCAGATCTACTTCGCTATCATGTTTTTCTGATGCATCCATCACTGTTGTTCCCTCACACATTTATGGAGGCATACAGATAAAATGATCTGTATCTCTTTCCTCCATCCATTCTGCATGGTTGGTTCTCTTTGTTGCTTTGTTTGTTTCCTTTTGTTATGGGCATCTACAGCCGGGCAGAAAAGTGGGGTTTCCGTTTCACTCTGGGGACCTGATGGTTCAATGTGCACATTCTGACTCGCCAAATGAGTCCTGCCCTGGGTGCTGGAAAGGAAAATGGCCGGTGTAGTTCCCATTGATGACATCTGAGTTATCCTTTGCCCAGAGCCCCTCCCTATATGCATTGAGCCAGCTCAATGATCCAGCCACATTTCAGTTTTTTAGGTAACAGAACGTTCAGGGCCAAAGTCTGCCCTGGTGTAAGATTCCACTGATTTAAATGGAGTGAAGCCAAGGAGGGGGCTGAATTTTGATTAGTGAAGTGGGTCAAGGCAGGGGCGACTCCAGGCACCAGCGCACCAAGCGTGTGCCTGGGGCGGCAAGCCGCAGGGGGTGGCAAGCCGCATGGGGCGGCCTGCCGGTCGCTGTGGGGGCGGCAGTCAGGGAGTCTTCGGCGGCATGCCTGCGGGAGGTCCACCGGTCCCGCGGCTTTGGCGGCAATTCGGTGGCGGGTACGCCGAAGCCGCGGGACCGGCGGACCTCCCACAGGCATGCCGCCGAATCCACGTTACTAGCCGGACCTCCCGCATGGTGCCTGACTGCCATGCTTGGGGCAGCAAAATACATAGAGCCACCCCTGGGTCAAGGGATGCAAGGACTTTCAGTCTGGGAACACTGTACTTTAAAGAAGAGTATTACATAACTTCCCAACCCCTTCCTCATTTTACCTCCCATTTCAGGCTGCTATCCAGGCCTAGTAAGATCTCTCCAGGAGATGGAGTAGAAAGGGAGCCTTTCATGTTGTTCACAATAGAGTTTGCGTGTGTGACAGTGTGAATCAGTTTGACAGAACTTCTAATGCAAGCATTTAATTAACTCCAGATGTCCCCTGTGAGTCTCATTACAAAAGACTGAAACATTAAAGGTTCCTTCTCTGAAACCATTCTTATCTATCTCTATGCTTTCCTCCTAACTAAGCAAAGTCCAGTAGATTTAATATGAGAGTTAAACCCAAAGTTTTGAGGTTCACCTCATGCACAGGGGAAAAAATATGATAGTTACTGTTCCTCAAGCAAACGGTTTATGCATTGGTCTCTTCGACATTTGGGGAGAGGGCATGGTCACTGGTATAAAGGCCTGGTGAATCCCTTGCTATATTCCATCAGGTTCTGTAACTTCAATGAAAAGCTAAGGAAAGCGACCAAGAACATAAGAATGACCATACAGGGTCAGACCAAAGGTCCATCTAGCCCAGTATCCTGTTTGCCGACAGTGGCCAATGCCAGGTGCCCCAGAGGGAATGAACAGAACAGGGCAATTATCAAGAAGTGATCCATCCCCTGTCACCCATTGCCAGCTTCTGGCAAAGAGAGGCTAGGGACGCCATCCCTGCCCAAGGAGTGAGAAAATAACTGGTCACTGTCCCCTGAGCACTGCAATGCCTCCATTGGTAGCTTGCCCTAACGCTTCTCCAAGGCTTTGCATTGGTACCTTTTCACTAGTGCCACTTGAGCTCTAATTGTCAGAGGACATACACTGGTAGTTGCTACAGTTAACCTTCCTGAGACTTCCAAATTGTACCACAGGCACCATAAACAGTCATTGCTCACTTCTATCTCCCTTTCCCCCTCCCCCCCCCCGCCCCCAAGTATTGCCCCTATGCGC